TGGCGAGGTCGTCGCCAGACCGGCGACCGCCGGCGCGAAGATGGCACCCCATGAACACGCCTTCTCACGCGGCCTCGTCAAACTTTGCGCGGGACTCGTCGATGTCGGGGCTGAGGCGTTTCGAAACGAAACGACCGCCAAACGGAACAATGTGTCCCTTGAAGGATTCTCCGACTTGAACTTCACTCGGCGCGCGGTCTTTGTAGGCTGGCTTCTTGCGCGGCGGCCGCGCCGTGAAAGGGCGGGGTCTGGCGGTGAAGTTGCGGCCGCGACGCCGCGCCCGCGTGGCCTCTTTCCACCATTCATGATCAGGCCAGAGTTGCGGGGCACCGCGCGGGTACCCTGTGTAAATGGCTTGACAGCGCGTTCGGCCATTCCGTTGGTTCGCGGCCGATGTGGCGCGCTGGTGCCGCGCTGCCATCCCAAGAAACGGCGCGCCTTCAGATGCTCGCCAGAGTTGCCCGCGTAGATGCGCTTCGCCTCATCGTTAGCGGCAGGAAACTCGAGGAAGGATGCCTTGGTGGTCTCGGCGTCCCTGTGCTTCGCTGGATAGGCCATGATGGTGCCTGCAAGCTTGTCCAATGCAACTTCGGCGTACTTGTCACCACATTGATCTGCGGCACCATCTGCAGCAAGGACACTGTGATCGGCCGTCAGAGCCTCGCCGAATCGCTCGGGCACGAATGCCTCACATTGAGCGTCTTCCTCGGTGAGCTGCGTTGGCGGGCCGGGTCTGCGCTGGCGTCAGCATGGCGCGTCGCGCGCGAGAATGCGCGCACGCGCCTCGCAGTCGGGGTGCTTGGGGCTGTGGGCGACGTGATGCGCGGGGTCGATGGGTGGCCGAGGTCGGCCAGGTAGCGTCGCATCGCGCGTCGGTGGCGCGGGCGCGGGCGCGCCCGCCAGCGCGGGGGCGCAAACCCGCCGGGTCGCTCACAGGGAGCGCGGGCGCGGGCGCGCCCGACAGCGCTGAAGCGCAACGCGTCGGGTCGCTCCCAGGTGGCGCGGACGCGGGCGAGTCCACCGGCGCAGGGGCATAAAGCGCCAGGTCGCTCACAGGTGGCGCGGGCGCGGGCGCGCCCGCTGGCGCAATGGCGTCGCCCGCGTAGCACCCACACATGCACGGGCGCGAATCATCATGTCCATCGCGCCGTGCTCGTCGTGGACGTCGCGACGCTTGCGGTGGGGCGCGCAACTGAGGAAGCGAAATTCGTTCAATATTGTTGAAGTCGAGTTCTGGGGCGCGGCTATTGACAATAACCCTGCACCATTGATCGCGTGGGCCCTGTAGTAAGTAACCCAGTTGTAGATCCCAGGTTAATCGGAAGCCGTCGCCTTGCACCAGTTGCCCCACCTATAGCACCGATGGGGGGCCGTCCAGCGCGAGGGCTGAGGTGGATAATCAAATGTGTGGTAGCTTCAGGTGGATGCGCTCGTTGACGATACTGTCGCCGTTGGCTGTTTCCAATATGTTCGCGCCCTCGGTGCTCGTCAGCGGTTTTCAGCTGTGCGCGATCGGCCTTATCTTGAATGTGGCGAGCGGGGCCACTGTCCCAAATCCATGTCCGCGACAACGCTGCAGCATGCCGAGTCGCCGCGGTAGACTCGGTCGCGGGCGTTGCCGCTGGCGCTGGGCTGTCGTCGGGCGGCAGTGCTGGCGCCGTGGTAAGTCTGGCTGGGCCAGTAAGGTCATCGCGCCATTTCTGCGCCTCGAGCTGGCAAGTTTGGAGCGCCTCGGCGCTGTCCTGCAGCCGCCAGTTCCGCAGCGGGCGGGTCGGGCGCGACAGCGGGGCCGCCCACGTTGGCCTCGGCGCGCAATTTGGCCAGTTGCCGCCTGGGCACAGGGTAGGTGATGACGTCGATGCCGTCGAGGTCGAAACCTAAGTGCTGCGGTCGTTGCTCTGCAGCGGTGCTCGTAGATGTGATTGCCGAGCTCTGTTCGCGGGTCACGCATGTTCGGTCTCTCGGTTGGCCGCCTCGCGGCGCTGCAGATGCGGGCGCGGGGCCCCTGCTGCGCGTCGAGGGCGATCGTTCGCCGCCGCTGCCGCCGCTGCCACTGTTGCCGGGCGAAGGTTCTCGACTGCGTCCACGGCTGCCGCCCCGCGAAGGAGAGCGGGATCGTCACGGGCGCCGCCTGCGGCCCCTCGGGCACCGCGAACCCCGCCGCCCCCCGCGCCCCGGGGGCGGCGTTCCCCGACGCGACCGTCGCGCGCCCCCCGGACTTCTTGAGCTCTGCCACCCCCTGACTGGGGAGTATACGTTGCCCCCCGCGCGTCCTGGGGAGGGCGCCCCGTCGCGGCCATCGCGTTTCCTTCTCCGACCGGAGCGTCTCTCGGGGGTCTCGGCGCTGGGATCGACGCGGGCGGGGCGGCTTGCAGAGTGAATTTGGGCCCGCATGGAAACGGCGCGCTGCAACGCGTGGACGTTTGCATCGATATTATCGCGGGCGGGCGCCGTGTTTCGCGACGTCGAAACGCAAATTCTGCTAGCCCCTGTCCTGGGGCGGCGGTTTGGAGCCTCGTCCTCTGGAGGCTCATCTTCCGCGGGCACCCCTGCCGGCATCGAAGCTCGTCGTGGAGATCGCGGCGTAGAGCGGTTGCCGGGCCCTGAGCGCAGCAGCTCGCGCCGTTCCCCGTTCTGACAGCGTCCCGACTTGAACGCAGCACGGACGGCTGGCTCGCAACGAGACGTCGCGCCCTTGAGGTTGCGCCGGCTGCGTTCGAGCCGGCGCAGCTCGATGTTGGCCAGGACGCGTTCTCGTAGACAATCGCAGGTGACATTGGGGCCATTCGACTTCATCTTGTCGCAATCGCGCACGCCCTGCTTCATCCGTGGATGTCCGTGGATCTGAGCTCGGAGCAACGACTCAAATATTATGGTATCCAGTGGATCGCGGCGCCCCAAAAGTAAGTTGCCCCAGTCCGCGACAACCCGTTGGAGATCTACGCCCCGCGTGCGAATGCGATGCAGTCGTTCGAAGTCACGCGTCACGTCATCAACGTCGGCGGTCCGGCGCGGATGTTTCCATCGGCGAGGGGTGGGGCGCAATCGGCGGTTAGATTGTGGCGGCGGGGTCGGGATGTCGATCTGGGTGTCGCTCGCGCGGGCCTTCATGGCGGCTTCAATTGTTGTGATATCGGCATGCATCTTCTCAAGACTCTGTCGTGCACCACGTACCTCGCCGTTGGTGTCATAAGTTCGCCGGGGGCGCCGGTCGAGTCGAGGCTCTAAGTCCTGGATTCGTCGGCTGTGTGCTTCGCGATCTCGTTCCAAACGGGCGAGCACATCGTCGGCCCGTGCTTTTCAGCGTCTCTTTCGTGGGAGGTCTGGGTGAGTCGCAACTGCGCGTGGTCCGCCGCCTTCAATACCTCGGCCATTCGGGCTTCGAGGGCGGCGAAAGCGCAAACCGAAGTCAGGGCGCCCAGCTGATGAGTCTGGGCCCAGTCTGGGCCCGCACAAGACGCAATCAGCCACCGCAGCCTGCGTTTCACGTAACTGCTGCTCGACCGTGGACACTCGGTTCTCAAGTGTCGACACACGTCCATCCGAAACGTCGAGACGTTGAGCGGTAGCCATCTCAGCAATGCAAAACTTGCCGTACAACTCGGACGTGAATGTGGTATTTTGGGAGAATAGCTGGCAGCAGTCACTTCAACGTGAATACGACGCGCAAATAAGTCGTCGCGGAGCTGTTGATCAGTAGGCCCACGTACCTCCGTAGCTGGAACCTGCCGCACTGTAAGGGGCTCATCGCGCATTGTCCTGATAACATCAATACCTGTGCCCCTGACGTTCACGAGTTCGACCTCCGCAGCGAAGAAGTAAACGCGGAGCGTCTGAATTGCAATGGAGTCGGAATTTCGGTGCGAGTTCACACGGTCGACTTGGTACTGGACCTGGGCGAGGATCGATCGCCCCTCGGCGATCCGAGCGTCGACGACGGCAAGGGCGTTGTGGAGCTCTTGATTCAGTGTTCTGTCCGCGCAGCAAGATCCGACAATTGCTGCGTCGTGAAAGTTCAAACCTGGCCTTCAAGCTCTGCTGGGTCTCTGGCTGGGGGCGATGCTTGCGGCGCGATGTCGCGCCGCAAGGAACTCAGCCGTGAGCGCCTCTGGGAAGGGCTGCGACCGTTGTCCCTAGTTGGGAATCGGAGACGATACCTCTCGGGGGCTCCTCGCTGTGATGTCCGCCCAGTGCGATCTTCTATGACTCGCGCGCTTTCTGACACGAGGGCCATGGTTGGGGCTCATGAGACGCCGTGCGTCCCAGCGGCGGTGTCGCGCGGAAGGACTTTGAGGAGACGCGACACTCGCGCCACCACCGCGGGCGTGTCCAAGGGTGACGGCCGAAGGAGGAGGAGGAAGCGGAGCGAATCCACCGGTGGTTTCGATGGCAACCGCGCTTGCTTCCACCGGCCAGGGTTCCGAAGTAAAGGTGGCGCCAGGAGACGCCATGGTCGACTGGCGCTATGTTCAAATCCTGGCGTGTGAGACGGCGCCGGCGCGGGAGGCGGGAAGGAGTCCATGAGCGTTTCGAACTCCGCCTCAGGTCGAACATCGGCGCAGCCTTCGCTTGACGGGGGGGAATGCGGTATCATGCTCGGTCCCATTGCCTTTTCCGTGGTGTCGTAACGCCCACGTTCCGTCGAAGACCCAGCACGCATAGAGGCACTGGCCCCCGTAGGGTCCAGCGCCATGCGGCTGAGTTAAAAACGACGCGGGGTGTCACAACGGAGAGCGAAATATAATAGGCGGATAACCTATGTATGGTGGTTAACGACCGAGGGGTTCAACCTACTTAAGTGTCCGTAGGTCGAGGAAGGTCAGGGAGGGGGTAGCGATCCCTCTTCCCATGCGCCGCGGGCAGGCGGCGCTGTACCTGTTTTCAATAACTGGGCCGAGACGGTAGCAGGATAGATTGATGAAAAGGTGGTGTGAGCGGACTTAGCACACACACACACACACACACCCTCATCGTCGTCTTCCTCGTCCTCGTGCTCCTGCCTGCACGAGCCATTTGCCCCTGCCGTCCAGCCGCACGTGCCAACCGTGGGGCTTCAGCTCGAGCAGGGTGCCCACATGCCCGTTCAGCCGCGCCAGTGGTCCCGCGACCATGCCTGCCACCCGCACGCGGTCGCCCGCCGCGAGCTGCGCCTCGATCGGGCCGCCCTCCCTCCTCCGCCGCCCTCGCAGCCGCCGCCCTCGGCAGCCCTCGCCGCCGTCGCCGCCGCTGTCACCGCCGCCGCCGCCGTCACCGCCGCCGCCGCCGCCGCCGTCCTCGCCACCGCCACCTCCGTCACCGCCGCCCGCGTCCTCGTCGCCGTCCTCACCGTCGTCGTCGTCGCCGCCTTCTGGGATCGGCGGGCGGCACTGGTGAACGGCGCCTCGCGAGGCCCAGGAGAGGAGGGCAAGAAAGGGGGGCAGGGGGAGACAACGGGTGTGTGAGGAGCAAGGAAGGAGCCTCATCCTCCTTCCCCGCCTCGCCTTGGGAACCCTTGGGAAGAGAAGGAGCAGCAGCAGCAATAGCAGAGTGCGAGGGGGGGAGAGGGGAACTTGGGGGCGAGGGGCCAGGAGAGAAGGGGAGGGGCCGCGGGCTGCGGGATAGGGGGGGAAGGGCAGGGGGACTGAGACGTTGAGGGCCGTCATCCTCCTGTCCCTCCTCCCCCCGCTGTCTCCCGCGCCCTCCGCCGCCCCCCCTCCGCCTGTTTGGAGTACGCATCGCTCATACCCGCATCCCGCCACCACCACACTCCTCTCCAATCCCCATCTGCCCCCTAATCATAATCCCCCACCCTCCACTCCTCCATGCTCCATCCTCCATCCTCCCCCTCCCCTCCCCACTCCCCTTCCTCCGCCTCCTCCTCCTCCTCCTCCATCCAGTTCCCTCATCAACACTTCTTCCCCATCGCATCCCCAGACGCGGGGTAGGCCGAGCCGGGCGTTTCGCCTGAGACGTCCTCACCATTTATAATCCTGAAGCTTGAAGCTTGCAACAGGTTCACGGATAGAGGGCGGGCTGCTTTCAAAATGTGGCTCTCGCCGTAGCGCCGCGCACGTTCGTGCAAACACATTGCAACAACTTCATGGATGGGGGGGCACATCGTTTTCAAAATGTTGCTCTCGCCTCAACGACGCGCACATTCGTCTTAACATGTTGCAACAGTTTCAAGGATCGACGGCGATTGGTTTAAAAAATGCGATTATCGCCTTGACGTTGCGCACGTTCGTCTCAGAAGTGTGCGATCGTTTCGAGAATTCGTATGGTTGAAAATCGCACGAACGGTGTTTTGGTTCTGGTCTGACTTAGAACTTGAAGGGCGCAGAACTGACGCTGCTTCGCTGTGTTCAAGTCCCACGCATGGTGTTCTCGCACGAGTTAGGATTGTCAGGGCGCTACCGTCACGTTGATCCGCGGCGTTAAAGTCCCAATAATGGCGTTTTGGCAGGACTGCAGATTCTCAGACCGCTGTTTTCTAATGGGCCACTTCCCCAGCGAAGACAAATTTGTCTGAGGGGCCTGCGGGCAAAAAGGAGCTCGGAAGAACGGTCGACTGCACCATCGTTGACGCGTCTTGGGTTTACGCTGGACTCCGTCCTTTTCCTCCTCTTCCTTCTCTCCCTCCCCCGACGACGGCGACGACAACGACGACGGCGACGGCGGCGGCGACGACGACGACGGCGTGACGACGACGACGACGACGAGGACGACGACGACGACGACGACGGCGGGACGACGACGACGACGACGACGACGACGACGACGACGACGGCGGCGACGACGACGACGACGACGACGACGACGACGACGACGACGACGACGGCGGCCTCGGCAACGGCTTCGCCCGCGGCCTCGGCGGCCCCACCGCCCTGAGCGGCCACGCCCGCTTGGGGCGCGGCCGCCGCGGCGTCCGCCGCGGGCTCGGCCATGCGCCCGGGGGGCGGCCCTGCAGCAGGACGGGGGGGGGGATGAGAGGGAGGGATGGGGGGAACTCATGAGAGACAGGGGGGGGGGGAAGGAGAAGGGGCGGGAAAGAGGAAGGGGGAAAACTATGAGTATGACGTGGAAGGAGGGGGTAGCGATGGGGACCGCGGCACATGGGCAACACCGCTGCAATTCATATTACACGCAGGTGGTCCACGATCGGTGCTAAGAGTGGTGCGCGGCATCGACATGCTGCATGGCCTAGCGTACGAACCTCTCCCATTCTGTGCGCTGAGCAAACGGGTCGATCATATGGGCAATGATTGAAAAACGCCCCCTGTACACCAATACCCAATACAATGGTGTAGAAACTGATACAACAAAATGGCGGGCGGCATGGGTAACTACATGGCGAACATCTGGAAGGCATGGTCAAATGGTTCCCCCACCACGTTGTCCATCCCAAACGCCAACGTGATAAGTCATATCGGTGTTAAGCTTCGGGGCGAAAGTGTCGCAACTAATGCGTGGATCATGTTTTTTTCCCGAAGCTGGACCGACCAATAATGCATGTATGCTCCGCTAGTCGTGCACGCTGCTGTATCGGAACAGCCGTGCACAGTCTTCCGTGCCGAAACCATTGCCTGGCCTCTAAAGCCATGCAGCCTGTTCTCACCCAATATATCACGGAACGCTGTAACGGCGTGTTTCCCGAGCTCGCTCGGGCGACAACATGAAAGGACGTAGGCGGGACAGGGAGGAAGGAGATAGGGGATGAGGGGTGGTCGTCTTCGTACTTTTTTTTTCACGTCGTACCTACATTGGTTGGATGGGGGTTGCGTCAGGAAGATGGCGTGTAAAAAACAGCGGCTACCAACAAACAACCTCTTGGATCACTTCGGGGAGCGAAGTGTGGAGAAACGGCGCGAACATACTGCGCGACGATAGGGAAGCCTTGGCGGGCATAGGGGTTTTAGACCCGCGGAAAACAGCAATGAAATCACAGGTGGCTCCACCCCGACACCACCCCCAGCTCCCCATGTTCCTCCACTTTCGTGGTGGCGCTGGCTCCTACGGTGGCGCGCGTGCTGGGCTAGTGATACAATGCCCTGTGCGCGCATCGAGTGTGGTAAGACCGATGTATCGATACTCTGGCACCAGTCAACGAAGGTCGGTGTAAAATCCTGGCCCTCGCGCCCTGCTGATGGGATTGCGGGGCCGCGCGAAACGTGGATGTTTGTAGACATAAAGCGGTGAACCATGGGTTCGGGAAATCTACGATAAAGGTCGCAACGCTGTGAATATCAACTCGAGAAAATGTTATGTTGAAAAGGTGATGCGGGAAATGTCCCCTCGCAGCACATATCGTGAAAAAGGTGCCCTTGCCGAGCCTCCAAGACGGCCAAGAAGGCCTCCAAGACAGCGAAGATGCCCCCAAGATGCACCCAAAACGGCCCCAGATGGCCTGAAGATGCCCTTCGATTGCCCAAATGGCCCGCCAGAGGCCTCCTAGACGGCCCAAGACCCCTCCAAGACGTCCTCAAGGAGGCCCGAAAGCTCGGAAACCACCTGGTCCGATAGCTCACCAGACTCGGTATTCCCCGAAGGCTTTCGAAACCCACTCGGGGAACGCGTGGCCCGATAGCTTGGCCAAGCTCAAACCCAACTTTCGGCCACGCAGGCGCTTCCAAAAAGGCAGGGGGCGGCGGTGATTCGCCGTAGGCGTCTTCGATACGCAGCGGGAGCGCCGAACTGGTCCACGGTCACCTTCACGCTCGAACGTCGGGCGAACGTCGAACGTCGTCATCGCTCTCCCCCTGGCCTCATGCAAAGACAAGGGGTCGGCGGATGTGGCGTAAGCCTGGTGAACCAGCCACACCAACCAGCACAGCCAGACGAGCCAGACCAAGCAGACCAAGTAGACCAACCGGACCAGCCAGCCAGCCATCCAGACCAGCTCAGTCCAGACCATACCAAGAAGACAGTCGCCAACCAGACCGAAAAGGTATGGAAAAAAATGCAGCGCACCGAACATGCAACGCACAAGCGGCTCAAATGCAACAGACAGCGGTCTGCTGCAGTGGTGGTTGGCGCTGCGCTCTTCGACCCTCCCTGCAGCTCGTCAAACCGCATTCGGCCCGTACGCAGAAGCAGAAGCTCTAGCTGCCTCCTCCTCCTCCTCCTCGGCGAGCATGCTAGAGGGTCACATCATTTGAGAGAGCATGATCCACCGCCGCTTTACTGTGGAAAATTGCCCCCCTCTTCCTCCGGAACCCGGGGGTCCCCCCGTAAAAGCGCGAGAACGCCCTATAGGTCCGTTCCCGTTCCCGTTCCCGTTCCCGTTCCCGTTCCATTCCCGTTCCCGTTCCCGTTCCCGTTCCCGTTCCCGTTCCCGTTCCGTTCCCGCCCGGTCGAGTGCCCGTCTACCCCCCCTGCGCCTTCAAGCCGACCCAAGATACGCGAACGGGAACAGGAACGGCAAGCCTCCCACGGCCTCCCCTACTACTACTACTACTACTACTACTACTACTACTACTACTACTACTACTACTACTACTACTACTGCCTCCAAGAGGCCCCCGAAAGGCCTCCCGCGATGTCCCGACGACCATCATCATCATCATCATCATCATCACCATCATCATCACCATCATCATCATCATCATCATCATCATCATCATTGCCGTCGTCAGCATCACCACCACCACCATCATCATCATCATCGTAATCATCATCATCACCGCCAACATCATTATCATCATCATCATCAGCATCATCATCATCATCGTCAACATCGTCATCATCATCACCATCATCATGATCAGCATCGTCATCAACATCATCAGTATCATCATCGTCATCATCATCAACATCATCATCCTCGTAGTCGTTATCGTCATCGTCATCGTCATCGTCATCATCATCGTCACCATCATCGTCGTCATTATAATCATCGTCGTCATCAACATCATCACCTTCATCATCCTCAACACCAGCATCATCATCGTCATCATCATCATCATTAGCATTCCGCATCATCACCATCATCATCATCATCATCATCATCATCATCACCACGGTGGCGGGAATTGCCGCAGGCAGCTGAATATGCACGAGTGCATTAACAGAACCATGGCTGGGTGGGCTACGCTGGGGATGGCCTCCACGACGTAAGAGATTGCATTCCAGCGTGCTAAGATGGTCCAGTGTGGCCTCCAGGACGGCCAGCATGCCGTCGAAGACTGCCAGGGCGGCCCTGCATGGCCCCCGAGGCGACCGAAGATGCCCTCCAAGACGGCCAATATTGCCCGAAAAAGGAGTCCAGATGGCCCCAAGTGGCCCCCAAAAACCCGCAGGAAGCCCCAAAATGCCTCCAAGAGGCCTCCTCCCCCCCTCCTTATCATCTCATGTGCCTCTTCGCTATCATCACCATCATCCCCCTCTATCCTGCTCCTCCCCCATCTTCCTCACACAAGTGTTTCCCCCAAGGGTTTCAACAACGGCTGGGGGAACACATGGTCCAACACCTGGGCCAAACTTCGCCGTAACGCTTGGCCGCGTCGGCGTTGCCAAAAGGCAAGGGGCGGCGCTGATTCGCCGTAGGCGTCTGACAGAGACCTTCCGAGACCGCCAACGAACTCCCAGGAGACCACCAAGTCCTCCGCCCTGACGTCCCCAAGAAGACCCCTACGGGCCCCAAGAGACCTGCAACATGCTTCCAAGAGGCCCCCGAGAGGCCTCTCAGGAGAGCCCAACACGCCTCCAAGCGTCCGCAGCCTTTCTGGAGCCTCCCTCTTGACCCCCCTTCAGGGTGGACGGAGACCACGACCACGACGACGACGACGACCACGACGACGACGACGACGACGACGACGACGACGACGACAACGACGACGACCACGACCACGACGACCACGACGGGACGACGACGACGACGACGACGACGACGACGACGACGACGACGACGGGAACGGGAACGGGAACGGAACGGGAACGGGAACGGGAACGGGAACGGGAACGGACCCCTGGGGCGTTCTCTTTTTTTCACGGGGTCCCCCCCCCCTCCGAAAATCCCCCCCCTCCCCCCCCTGCTGGACCCACCTCCCCCCCCCTCCCCCGGCAAACCCCCCCTCCCGCCCTAACCCCTCCCCCCCCAAACCTCCCCCTCGAAAACTGGGGGGGGTCACAACCGTTCGAACCCCCCCCCCTCGAAAACCGGAGGGGGGTCACTACCGGTTCGAACCCCTCCCACCCCCCCCACTCACCGCCAGCAAACGACCCCGGTCCTACCACCGCCGCATCACATCCCCCACTGTTGTTCCCCAGCACCACTGTCCTCACCACCACTGTCCCCGCTGGTTCCACCACCGTCCCTACTGTCCCCACCAGTGCCCCCACCACTGTCGCACTGTCCCCACTGTCCCCACCACTGTTCCCACCACGGTTCCACTCTCCCCACTTTCTCCACGTCCCCAACCACTGCCCGACTATCCCCACTGTCCCCACTGTCCCACTGACTCCTCCGCTGTCCCACTGAGCTGTCCCACTGTTCCCACCACTGTCCCCACTGTCCCCACCACTGTCCCCACTGTACCTCTGTCCCATTGTCCCACCGCCGTCCTCGCCACCGCCTTCACCACTGTCCCCACCACCACTGTACCCTCCACTGTCCTACTGTTTCCACCATCATTCCCACTGTCCCCACACCACTGTCCCCACCACCACCGTCCCCACCACTGTCCACTGTCCCCACTGTTCCCACCATTGTCCTCACCACTGTCCCCACCACTACCGTCCCCACCACTGTCCCACTGTCCCCACCACTGTCCCGGTGTCCCCTCACCACTGTCCCCACCACCACCGTCCCCACCACTGTCCGCACTCCCCCTCGGTTTTCGAGGGATGGGGGGGGCGGGGGGGTTCGAACCGGTAGTGACCCCCTCCCGGTTTTCGAGGGGGGGGGGTTCGAACCGGTAATGACCCCCCCCTTTTCATGATGAGCTGGGGGGGGGAGGGGTTCGAACCGGTAGTCCCCCCCCAGTTTTCCGGAGAGGGGGGGGAGAGGGGTTCGAACCGGTAGTGACCACCCCCGGTTTTCCGCCAGCAGCGGTAGAACACGCTCTTTCCATCATTTGGACCCTACGATCGAATAGGCCTGATTTGAACAGGCCCGTG